GATCATGGGCGGCGGTGAGAGCGGCGCGGGGAGGGCGGGGATGGGGAGGTGCAGTGCCGCGGCGGTGGGGAGGATGGGAGGCGGGAGACCGCATGACGGTGGCGGCGGCGGTGTGGTGGGCCGGCGGCGAGGGCGGTGGCGTGGCGAGGGCGTGGAGACGAGGGCGGCAGCTACGGGCGGCGACGGCGGCGGGGGACGGGGCGGCTGGAGAGTGAGGTGCGATGCAGCCGCGCACGGCATAGGCTGGCCGATGGCAGCGCAGGAAGGCAGGCGGGGCGGATGGGCGGGCGAGCCTCGTTGGCGACGCCGGCGGCGCAGTCCTTCTTCTTCGCCTTGGTCGGCGCCTTGTTCTTCTCGTTCTTGGCCTCGTCGAGCTGCGCCTGGGGCGCGCGGGTGCGGGCGTGAGCGGCGGCGGCGGCGGCCGGGAGGAGGGAGGGGGGGCGCGGCGGCGGGCGGCGGTGGGCGGCGTCGCTCGGGGCGGGTGGCCGGAGGGGGAGGGAGAGGTGCGGCGCAGCCACAAAAGGCACAAGGCTGAAGCTCTCGACGGTGTTGAGGGAGGAGGGGCGGGGCGAGGGAGGGGCGGGGACTCACCTCGGTCTTCGTGTTGATGAACGTCCAGCGCGAGGGCGGGACGAGCTTGGCATCGTCGTCGCCCGCGAGCGACGCGTCCTTGCTGCTCGCCGTGCGGGTGGCGCTGCTGATCGGGGACGCCATCGCCTTCGGGGAGGTTCAGCTTTCGGGGGGTTCAGCCTCGGCGGAGCCTCGACCGAGCTCAAAACTCGTTGTTTCTTTTTTCACGGCTTCTAAGGAAGACGTCGAGCGCCTTGTCTGTCGTGTGAATTTCTTCTCAATAACAAGGCTGTGAATCGTGCGTGTGCGAGAGGCTTTCCTTGTAAAATTCTTCTTTCTGTCTTTTACTGATACGCACGTTGCAGTGGCACCTCGGTCGAGCCCGCGAGCGGTGAAAAAACTCTCGCACCCCACCGCAATCTCCATGCCTCTAACCCGGTCGGTGATAAGCCCGGAAATATATATGTAACAAGAAGACGCACGTGTATGGAAAACTGTCCCTATTTCGAGTCCCTATTTGAACTTCACCCTTCACGCGCCGAAATGCGTGACTCCGAGGAATCAGGAATCAGGAATCAGGAATCGGAATCCCGGTCCAAAATGTTGGAAAAAGAAAGAAAGAAAGATTCTCTCTCTCTCTCTCCTAAGATAACAGACAAAAATCAGGAATCAGGAATCAGGAAGTAGGAATCGGAATCCCGGTCCAAAATGTGGGCGAGCCGACAAATCAGGAATCAGGAATCAAGAATCAAATGGAGCGTCAAGAATAGGAAGAGAGAGAGGAGAATCGGGAGGGGGGAGCAGAATCAGGAATTGGCTCTGGCTGCCCTAGAAGAATCGGAAAGGAAGCGGAGGAAACGAGAATGGAGAATCAGGAAGCTGAAAGCGGGGCCAAGATGGGAGAGTCTGGGAAGAGAATCAGAATATCTGAGCAGAAGAGGAACCTGGGAAGGGGAATCTGGTGAGAGGTACAATAGCAAGAATCCTTGTTTAGTAGAGCAGAATAGGAAAGGCAGAATCCTTAGGCGCGGACAGACTTCTCCATTACTCCCTGCTGCGGCGGCGCGGCCGGTTGAGGCCGGGCTCGGCCCGGCCCGCGACGGCTGGCCGCCGACGAGCGCGCTCGCGCTGCTCGTCAAAATGGCGGCGGTGTCGATTGCGGCGACGGTCGTTCAGTCGCTCAGCGCTCAGGCGTCTGTCGTCTGTCGTCTGTTGTCGCATTTCGCACACGCGCGCGCCGCGCGACCCGCGTCGCTCCGCGAGGGCATGAGCCTTCCGCGATTCGATCCCGCAGCCAAAAGCTGCTCGCTCGAACCGCGGCCGACTCTGCCATCGCGACTGCAGCTGTTGGGCTCTCCAGAAGACTGGTGCCTGATATGCTGCCTCCCTGCGGTTGCTGCCGGCGAGCCTGGCGGTCCGCTGTACTACAAGGAAGTGCTGACTCGATGCCCCCCCCGCAATCTTCTACCCCCACGACTCGGAACGCGAATGAGGAATGTGACAGGACCATCGGGTCCTTCGGCCACCAAAGCGAGATCACCCGAGAGCAGCTGAGTCTGCCTCTGGCCTCGCCTCCCTCTCCTTCAGGCATTCGTGGCATCCTATGGGTCGTCCAGAGAAGAGTATCGACCTCTGCTACTGGCGAGTCAGCCAGCCCCACTTTGAGGGCGCCATGAAGTACAGAGATCGCCAACTCGCTGGTCTCTCCGCAAGGCCCCCCGACCGCGTCGAGAACTCATCGGCGCGGGCTCTCTCGGCTACGGGACCGGCCCCAGCCAGCTTCGGCTGAGGGCTGACAAGCTGCCGAGCCCAAATCACTGAGTCACCATGAGAGTCATGATTTCTTGTTGGTTTTCAAAAATCCTCTCTCCTCCAAATCCGAACGCAGAGCACCGACCGGGACGCGGTCGGGCGATCTGAGGCGTATGCATTGATTGGGAGAGAGAGAGAGAGAATGACGTGTGAGTGTTAGAGTTGTTTGGGAGAGAGAGATTTTTAGCAATACCAAACAACTCTAACACTCACACGTCATTTGGGGCCTGGAGCCCTGTTGTTTGTTGTTGTTGTTTGTGTTTGATTGATGTGTTTGTTTGATTGCCGGCCCAAGTAGGTAGGCGTATGCATTGATTGCCCACCCAGGGCTATCACTGGACCTATCAACAGGCGCCTGCGGCGCCGTGCTCAGGAGCTGCTGTTCACTCGCTCGAAATGTGTTCGTTTAAGAGGCAGCAGGTACAGAGAAAAAAATGCGTCCCCTCAAAGAAGGCGGCGCACCAAGTGTGCTCCTCTTGCTGTTGGGACACGATGGCCAACGGCACTGCCGCCGCTGCGTCCGCTGGGAAAGGCACAGATCAGTCGCCGAAAACAGCCATCACGTCAGGCTTGTCCGCCAAGGATCGGGTGCGTGGCCACGCCGCCGCCGGCTCGACCACAGGCGCGCCCTACACACATCCATCGCCTCGCCAGCGCAGGTAAACGCGGGGCCGGCGAGACGACCGCCGACGGACGATGATGATGACTTCTCGCTCACGTCGTACGCCAACGGCTGCTGCATCTGCTGGGTGTCGGATCATCATGTGCGTGCTCCAACACAACTGAATCAAAGCGCCCACATTTTGGCCTCCGGGCATGCTATCCACCGCGTCGCACCACACTTCCGCGCGCCTGGCAAGCGCTGTTGACCAACCGCGCCCCCCCGACCCTGGCAGGCGCCGATAGAATGCCGCCTCGCGTGCACGATTATGTGATCCGCGGGGCCGGTGGCTGGGGAGCTGGGGAGACGGAGTCTGGCGGAGACACCCACGGCAGATTTATTTGGCGAGGAGAGGAGCTTTGGAGCGCCAGGGCCACAGTGTCGTTTGTTGCGGGCCTCGGGCGACACCCCGCAGGGCGGCGCCGGTTTTGTTTCCCACCACACTCCACGACGACAGTCGCGAGCCCGAGCGTGCATCAGAGCCGCGAGGAGAGAGCGATGGCCCGCGCCAGCGGCGCCGTGGCATCTGCCGATCTGGCATGACCATGAGGGAAGACGCAACACTGGCCACTCTCACTGCCAGAAAACTGTTTGCGACGTTACTGAGCTTAAAATACAGTGACCGTCGCCCTCCCCCCTCCAGCGCCGCGTTCTCCCTCCGACACCGCGCCGCCGCGGCTCATCACGGGCCACCGCATCCTACGCGGGATAGCCTCTGGCGGCGCGCCGCGGAAGGCGCGACGAGCGAAGCGAAAGAGAGCGCACAGGGGCAGCGGGTCGGCTGTCCCTGAACCGCATTAGCTGTACTTGATGAAGCCAATGTCCTTGGCGTACTCGCGGAAGCAGCGACGGCAGATGTCGAGGCCATACTTGCGGATAAGGCCGCGCACGCTGTGGCAAACGCGGCTGCGGAGGGCGCGGGAGGGAGATAGGGATCAGGCTTTCGGCGGCGGCGTGCCGGCCGACCCGCCACGTGGCAATGTGGCATGCTCAGCGCGTTGGGCAGCGGGGCAGGGCGCACCAGTGGCGCGCGCCGGCCGAGTTCTCCTTGGGATGGATGCCCCAGATGTTCGGCATGCTGCGCGCATGCGAGGGGGAATCACTCAGCACAGCGAGGGGGGCGCTGGGCAGCGCAGGGCTCGACGCGGCGTGCGCAGTGTGGGGCCCGCCAGCGGCGCCGGACGCACACGGGGGAGTGCTGCGGGCAAGCTCCTCTTTGGGCACACACAAGGCCGGTGGACGGTGTGCGCCAGGGCGCCAGGGCGACGGCATGCGGGGCGACGCGCCTGCAGAGATGTGCCCGGGGGGAAAGGAAATTTTTTTTTCGCCAGGCCAGCCATGACAGCCCGCCGCCCGCCCCTGCGCCGCCCGCCTCGACCGCCGCCGCCTTGCTCCGAGTTGCCGCCACCTCGCCGAGATACGTCCTGAAGGCCTCGACGCACTCGGCGTGGTCCTGTTCTTTGGCGTACTGCAGCGCCGTCTTGCCCGACGCAGTGCGGTCTCGGGCACCGCAGGCGACCGACGCTTGCGTCCTAGCCTCCAACAACGCCTCCCCGGCGCAGAGAGAGAGAGGGGCCCCCGGAGGGATGCTCAACCGCCCCACGCCACGCCGCTTGCGGCGGTCCTATTCCCAGCGGGCGGGCCACTTATGTGTGAAGACAGACGAGAATCAAGAACGCGAGGTGAGCGAAGCCTTATGCTCCGCTCTGTGTCGCGCTCCGCGGCGAGGATAGCTCCCAGCAGCGGCACGTACCGCACGCTGGCGCTCAAGTCTGGCCAGTGGGTGCGGAATAAGGACGACCTGCACACCGAAACGTGCGCGTCCCGCCCCGCCAACCGCCGCCGGAGCGGGAGCCAGCTTGACCCCTCGCCTGTTTGCCTGGCAGTAAGCTCGTGCACGCCGGCGTCGACCCTGATCCCATTACCGGCGCCATCCTCACGCCGGTCTACCAGGCGCGGCTGCTCACAGCAGCCAGCGAAGACCGAGGCTGCTGCGCTGTGGCCCTCACGCCTGACGCCCGCCCCGGCAACACCCCTCCCTGTAGTCGACGACGTACGTGCAGGAGTCGGTCGACGAGTATCTCGCCAAGGGCTACTCGTACTCGCGCACAAACAACCCCACGGTCACCGTCCTCGAAAACAAGATCGCAGAGCTCGAGGGCGGCTACGGTGCCTCGCTACCGCCGCCGCCACCACCGCCGTGCCCGTCGCCACCCTCGCCGCCAGTCTTCACTGCCACCCTCACCGCCGCCGCCAATCTCGCCGCCGCCGCCTTCTCACGCCCGCCCTCACGCCCGCCTCTGCCGACGCCTCCGCGCCTGTAGGTGCCGCCTGCTTCAGCACCGGCATGGCTGCGACCATCGCGGTGATCACCTCAACGATGCAGGCGCGAGAGGGGGTATCGGCGGGTCGGGCGGGGGGGGGGGGGCCTCCCTCCTAGATGATGCTTCTAGTTCTCCCCTCCATAAGATAAGGCCACCTCGAGCGTGCATCGAGGTGGTCATTGAGAGGGCAGACCTAGAGACCGAGCGGGCTTGGCAGCTTCTCGCGTCTGTCTGCAGGCGGGCGACCACTGCGTCATCACGAACTGCTCGTACGGCGGCACCAACCGCGCGTGCCGGACCCTCTTCACCGACATGGGCATGGAGTTCGACTTTATCGACTTCACCGAGCTGGTGCGCGCTCTCTGCAGACCCCACCACCTCTAAGCACACGTCGCCGTCTCTCGCCGGCCGCGCCCTCTCTCGCCGGCCGCGCCACCCCGATGACCGCGACGGCGCGACTCGCTGCCCCACGGCGCAGCCCGCTCGTCCACCTCCAAGAGGAGGAGACCACCCACTGGCACGCGTCGCAGACTTCGCGCCTCTTCCGCTGTACACAGTCAGCCGGTCCGTGAATGTTCACGCTGTGAGAACCCCCAACGCCGCCTCCCCACATCTCCCCACATCTCCCCACGCCTCCCCACGCCTCCCCACGCCTCCCCACATCTCCCCACATCTCCCCACATCTCCCCACATCTCCCCACGCCTCCCCACATCTCCCCACATCTCCCCACATCTCCCCACATCTCCCCACACCTCCCCACATCTCCCCACATCTCCCCACGCCTCCCCACGCCTCCCCACATCTCCCCACATCTCCCCACACCTCCCCACATCTCCCCACATCTCCCCACATCTCCCCACACCTCCCCACATCTCCCCACATCTCCCCGCATCTCCCCACATCTC